GGTGAGATCGGAGAGAGGATGGTAGAATGGTGGGATGAAAGAGAGGAAGTTAGGATTGAAGACCGGACGGTCGGGTGGTGGGATGGCAGGATGGGGTGCACACAAAGATAGAGAGAGGTTGTGCAACCGGGGTGGCAGGATGGTGGTATGAAAGGATGGCGGGATGGGAGGGAGGATGGTAAGACGGTGGGGTGGCAGGATGGTGGTATGATAGGATGCCGGGATGGGAGAGAGGATGGAAATGAGGATGGTGGGATGGTGGTATGGCAGGATGGTTAGACGGTAGGATGGAAGAGAGAATGGGGAGATGGGAGAGAGGATGGTAGGATTGCAGGATGGTGGGGTGGTGGGATGGAAGAGAGGATGGTAGGATGGTAGGATGGTAGGGTGGTGGGGTGGTGGGATGGTGGGGTGGTAGGATGGTAGGATGGTAGGATGTTAGGATGGTGGGGAGAGAGGTTGAAAGAGAGGATGGTAAGACGGTGGGGTGGCAGGATGGTGGTATGAAAGGATGGCGGGATGGGAGAGAGGATGAAAATGAGGATGGTGGGATGGTGGTATGGCAGGATGGTGAGACGGTAGGATGTTTTTGTGGCGGGACGGTAGAATGGCTGGGTGGAAGACCGGATGGTTGGGTGGTGGGATGGTAGGATGGAAGAGAGGATGGTAGGGTGGAAGGGCAGGGCCGATAGTAGGACGGTTGGATGGAAGACCGGATGGTTGGGTGGTGGGATAGTAGGATGGAAGAGAGGATGGCAGGATGGGAGAGAGGATGGTAGGATGGTGGAACTTAAATGGCGGGACAGATGGTGAGATGGCTGGATACTGGGACGGTAGGATGGCTGGGTGTGGGACACTGGGATTGCAGGATGGTCGTATGTCAGGACGTTTCGTTGGTGGGATGGTCGGATGGTTTGTTGGTGGGATGGTAGGATGGTTCATAGGTGGGACGGTAAGACGAGAGGATGGAAAAGAGGATGGCAAGACGGTGGGGTGGCAGGATGGTGGTATGAAAGGATGGCGGGACGGGAGAGAGGATGGAAAAGACGATGGTGGGATGGTGGGATGGTGGGATGGTGGTATGGCAGGATGGCAGGATGGTAGAATGGAGGAGAGAATGGTGAGATGAGAGAGAGGATGGTAGGATGGTGGTTTAGCAGGATGGTGAGACGGTGGGATGGAAGAGAGAATGGGGAGATGGGAGAAAGGATGGTAGGATGGTGGGGTGGTGGGATGGAAGAGAGGAAGTCACAATCGAAGACCGGATGGTCGGGCGGTGGGATGGTCGGATGGGAGGGCGGATGTTTTCATGGCGGGACGGTAGAATGGCTGGGTGGAAGACCAAATGGTTGGGTGGTGGGATGGTAGGATGGAAGAGAGGATGGTAGGGTGGAACGGCAGGGCAGATAGTAGGATGGCTGGATGGAAGACCGGATGGTTGGGTGGTGGGATGGTAGGATGGAAGAGAGGATGGCAGGATGGGAGAGAGGATAGTAGGATGGTGGAGCTGGAATGGCAGGGCAGATGGTGGGATGGCTGGATACTAGGACGGTACGATTGCTGGGCGTGGGACTGCAGGATGGTCGGATGTCAGGACGGTTCGTTGCAGGGATGGTCGGATGGTTTGTTGGTGGGATGGTAGGATGGTTCGTCGGTGGGACGGTACGACGAGAGGATGGGAGAGAGGATGGCAGGATGGGAGAGAGGATGGCAGGATGGTGGAACTTGAATGGCAGGGCAGATGGTGGGATGGTTGGATACTGGGACGGTGGGATGGTTGGGCGTGGGACTGCAGGATGGTCGGATGTCAGGACGGTTCGTTGGTGGGATGGTTGGATGGTTTGTTGGTGGGATGGTGGGATGGTGGGATGGTTCGTCGGTGGGACGGTAAGACGAGAGGATGGAAGAGAGGATGGCAAGACGGTGGGGTGGCAGGATGGTGGTATGAAAGGATGGCGGGATGGGGGAGAGGATGGAAATCAGGATGGTGGGATGGTGGTATGGCAGGATGGCGGGACGGTAGGATGGAAGAGAGAATCGGGAGATGGGAGAGAGGATGGTAGGATGGTAGGATGGTGGGGTGGTGGGATGGAAAAAGGGAAGTCAGGATCGAAGACCGGATGGTCGGGCGGTGGCATGGTAGGATGGGGAGGGCGGATGTTTGCGTGGGGGAACGGTAGGATGGATGGATGGTGAAATGGCAGGACAAATAGTAAGATGGTTGGATGGAAGACCGGATGGTTGGGTGGTGGGATGGTAGGATGGAAGAGAGGATGGCAGGATGGGAGAGAGGATGGCAGAATGTTGGAACTTGAATGGCAGGATAGATGGTGGGATGGCTGGATGGTCGGATGTCTGGACTGTTCGTTGGTGGGATAGCTGGATGGTTCGTCAGTGGGATGGTCGGATGGTTTGTCGGCGGGATGGCAGGACGAGAGGATGGAAGAGAGGATGGCAAGACGGTGGGGTGGTAGGATGGTGGCATGAAAGGATGGCGGGATGGGAGAGAGGATGGAAAAGAGGATGGTGGGATGGTGGTATGGGAGGATGGTGGGATGGCAGGATGAAAGAGGGAATGGTGAGATGAGAGAAAGGATGGTGGGATGGTGGGATGGCAGGATGAAAGAGGGAATGGTGAGATCAGAGAAAGGATGGTGGGATGGTGGGATGGTGCTATTCTGCGGAAGCCTGTGCAACCGGGGAAACGCCTCAGCGGCTGACGTTCCGTTAACCTTTCTCTTGTTTATACGGGTTCGGTGGGAGGGCTCATCGGTAGGACGTTTCTGCGTTTCGAATTCAGACTGGATGGCAAATGAGATGGGCGGGACGTCATGCTGAAGTTGGGCCGTCACATGGTCGATCGTCAAGCGTCGTGCCTGAGCTGGACCATTGTATTGTCGAGAGTCCATGCATGCCACAACCCTGTGATCGCCATGTGTCCTTGCCTATCTTGACTGTGCGTGAGCCGTACGAATGCGACGTGCATCAGATCGTCAGTTGTCGTGTCGAAGATGGACCGTCATATTGTCGGGTGTCCGTGTCTACAACAATCCTGTGATGGACGCATGGCAGGACAAATGGAAAGAAATGACATTTCGTTAAAACTGACATTTTTTTCTAAATTCACGAAATTGAGCGTATTAAAAAACAACATTTTTTAGTGTTTTTTTATCCCCATTATGTCGGATGATCAGATCATCGGGTGTCGTGGCGACTCCCGATGATCTGATCATCGAATGTATGTTAACGATACTTTACGTTGAGGTACATCAGATGGACAAAGTAAGATAACCACTTTCTCACCCGATGAGCAATGAAATTTTGACTAAGTCTTCTTTCGTGAATTTAGAAAAAAATGTTAGTTTTAACGAAAGGTCAGCTAAAGAAAAGAGGGTGGTTGGATGGTGGGGTGGTCGGATGGCGGGGTGGTTGGATGGTGGGAAGGCCGGCTGATTGCGCGGCGGGTATGGGTGGATGGTGGAATGGCAGGACAGATGGTAGGACGACAGGATGGAAGACCGGATGGTTGGGTGGCGGGTCGGTGGGATGGAAGGATGGTAGGATGGAAAAGAGGATAGTGTGCTGGTATGACATCTCATGGCGGGGTGCCGGGATAGCAAGATCGTGGGTGACACTCACGGGACGGTCAGATGCCAGGACGACAGGAGGGTAGGATGGAAGGATGTCGTGCGTGGCGAAACGACAAGATGATGGTGGGGTGACGGGATGGTCGGATGCCGGGACGACATGACGGTAGAACGGAAAGGATGGCGGGTGGCGAAATGGTAGAACGGCGGGATGGTGGGTGACGAAATGGTAGGATGATGGGATGGAAGGGTGGCGGGGCGACGGAATGGTCGGATGCGAGGACGACATGATGGTAGGATGGAATGATGTCGCACGTGGTGAAATTGAAGGACGGTAGGATGGTGGGATGGACGAGAGGATGGCAGGATGGTGGGATGGAAGAGGGAAGGGATGGTTGGACGGTGGGATGGTAGTCTAAAGACGGTTAGCTGGCGGGATGGCAGGACGAGAAGACGGTTCGCTTGCGACAGTCAGGTGTCGGACCGAAGCCCGAGTTTCAATTTGCCAGTCGTCGGCCGTCGTGCCAATGCACGACCATTAGATAGTCGGGTGTCGTGCCGAGGCTGGACAATCGTATTGTCGGGTGTCGTGCCGAAGCTAGACCATCCAATGGCCAGGTGTCGTTTCGAAGCTGAACCATCAGAACGTCAGTGTTGTGCATAAAATATGTCGTCAGATGGTTGGGCGTCGTGGCGGGGCTTTTGGCCGAACATGGGTTTCGGACGTGCCGAATACAATTGTCGGTTGCTTTCTCCTTCCTGGGTATTGTTTACAACTGCCATCACAGGTCACAACCATCCGYGGGAGGTTGACCGACATTGTTGTTTTCGTAACTCGTAGTAAGTTCCGCGTCGTTGGCCGCCGTTTAGAAGTAGTTCAATTTCTGGCCGCCGATAGAAGGTTAGATATTATGCCACCCAAAGAGCAGATGGTTGAGCACCTCGAATGGCATGAGTTCGAAATGGAGGCCATAATTAACAGAGATTGTATTAGAGAGTCGTTGGTACGAAAGTGCGGTTTTGTAAGAACAAAATACATCTCAGCGTTTTCAAAACACGCAACCGGGGAAACACTTGAGTTGCTGACGTTTGGTTCATATTTGTCCTGTTTATACGGGTTCAGTGGGAGGGCGCTAGGGTGATATGTTTTTTTTTGCATTTAGAAATGAGAATGGACGACAAAGGTCTCGGACGTCATGCAAGTGTGTTTTGCGGAGCTGGTCCATCGGATGTTTTGCCGAAGCCGGACCGTTAGATGGTCCAGTCAAGGTCCCTCCCTGCGTGGACCATCTGGCGGCCAGATGTTGCGGCAAAACAAGACCATTTGGTGGTCGGGTATTCTTGCCTGTCTAGACTGTGTGATGGTCACGTGTCATGCCGAAGCCGGAGCATCACATGGTTGGCGGGAGACGTGGTTGAAATGCGATATGCATCAGATAGTCAGGCGCCGTGGCGAAGCTGGACCATCATATTGTCGGGTCTTCGTGCCTGCCAAAACTCTGTGATGGTCGGGCGTCGGGCGAAAACTGCAGGACCAATTTGATCGAATGTCACCCCGAAGCTGCACCGTCGTATGGTCAGGTGTCGTGTTGAAGCTGGACCATCTGGTGGTCGGGTGTCCGTGCCTATCCTTGCGATGGTCAGGTGTCGGACCGAAGCCGGAGTTTCTATTTGTCAGTCGACGGCCGTCGTGTCAACGCACGACCATTAGTAGTCGGGTGTCGTGCCGAAGCTGGACCATCGTATTGTCGGGTGTTCGCGCCTGCAACAACCCTGTGATGGTCAGGCGTCGTGCGAGGACGACCAATGGTCAGGTGTCGTTTCGAAACTGGACCGTCAGAGCGTCGGTGTTGTGCATAAACTGTGTCGTCAGATGGTCGGGCGTTGGCACGACACTTGCCCAAATATGGGTTTCTACCATGCCGAATATGATTGCCCGTTGCTTACTCCTTCCTGGGTATCGTTTACAACTGCCTTGCAGAAACTATGCACACTCCGTTCCACCACAGTGAGAAAGGGAGCTGTCCTCATGGGTCGCAACCATCTGTCCAATGTCCGAGGAATTTCACGACACCTCAACTTGTATCCAGCGATGAGAGCAGATCCCCTTCATTGCGTAGAAGCCGTCATACGTGCAGATCATCGCCACTGTCCATACAAAGTCCTCGTAAAAAGCAAGAGTTGCTTGTAGGCTGTGCTCACCTATCCAATACTGTAGTCCGACGATTGAACCTCGATGACATTATTAAAGAGGTCCGTCAAGCTCATGCTGCTCTACCTCGGGATGGACTTTGCGCACAAAGTGCAATGCATGCCATCGACAAGCCGGATGGTGGTGATGAAGACGACGGCGCCATGGACGATTAGAACGAACAAGCCGTCGATTTCGATGTATGTGGTGTTATTCCGAATGCGAATACTAAGAGTGTACTGGGAAGGGGATGTGAGTCAGTGTCCTTGTTGACTGATTTAGGATCTGAGAGAGGCAAATGGGCATACACATATCGCAAGAGGAAGAGAAGAAGTGACACATTAGAAGAGTCATTAGACAGGACATGCACCATCGAGGAATGCAGTGCGGTGCTGAAGAAAAAGTGTTGTACGAAGTTACAATGTTGTTCGAAGATGACAGTAGACGAGGTATACCGGGCGAAAATGAGATACAGATCGCTGGCACCGGTGGAGAGGCGGAAGTCGTGGATAAAACAACTAGATAGTTTCACGTGTATTGAAAATCAGAAGAAAGTGGTAAAACCAGTCGTRGAAAAACATAGAGTATGTGTCCAAGCCTGGTGTTACATCATTGGGTTTTCCAGAAACACGTACGCATTCTACAACGATTTGCATGAAGACGGCAGGTGCTGCCTATTCATGGTAGGAAAGGACATTCTACGACGTCTGCCGCTCACGCCATGGCTTTCAAAACATTTGAGACAATGATCATGGAGGAGGGTGACGCGATGCCTGACCAGACAGACATGAGCAAAGACTACGACATAAGACCACGGGTCAGACTGCCTTCGACATATGCAACAAAAAAGACGTTTATGAGAGCATCAAACGACGACTGCAACAACTGGACATAGACTGCTGCTCTTTGCAAGTCTCCGGAAGTTTGTGGCGTGATTTCTTCTGGCATGTTCACCTTGCTCGATCGACAGACTACGCTAGATGCAATTACTGCACAAAACAAACAGACCTGATTGAAGGGGCCAAGCCAGACGCAAGACGTCGTCTTGTTGCGAAATTGAATCGGCATAGATTGTTGCAGGAGGCGCATCGGAAGCACTACGACATATGGTCAACCGAATCTAGGTTTATGAGAGAAAAAAGCTTGTGCATCATAATTGATGGTATGGACCAAGCAAAAACTCTGATTCCTCACACAGCCAGGAATCGCACATCGAAGACAATGGACAACTGCACAATGATGAAAACAAACCTCACTGGCATTCTCGTGCATGGGAGGAGTCCACACATTCTTGTGCACACATGTTTTCCTGTGTTTCCACATGGTCCGGATTCGATAGTGTCGTTGATCGCGAAGGTGTTGAGAGATGTGCAGAGACAATCGGGAGTGTTGCCTCCTGTTTTCAGACTCCAAGCGGACAACTGCGGTAGTCAAAACAAAAACAGATATGTGTTCGCGTATCTGGCATTATTGGTCAAGTTCCGTATTTTCGAGGTTGTCGAAATGGGATTGATGATAGTAGGTCACACACATACGAACATTGATGCAAAGTTCAACTTGTTTGCTAAAACACTGGCTGACACGGATGCTTACACGATGGACGAGTTGTTCGCCGCACTTAGAAATTCTACAAAGGATGAGGTCGCCTGCACATTCATCGATGAGATGGCGGATTGGAAAGGTGCAATCAAATACTTTCTGGATAAGCGTATTGGTAGTCATTCCACTCCACACCTGTTCAAGTTCTATATGGATGGAGAGAACCCAACGATGGTCTACAAATAACATTGCAATGACATTGAGTGGTTGTCGGAGGGCGGAGCAATTTATTGGTTCAAGCAGGATCAACAGGGGAGATGGGCGGGGCCATCATTTGCGTTAGAACCATGTAGCTTAAAGTTGAACTTAGACAACAGAGACTTTATCAAAGGTCACCAAGGTGTGAGTGCTTTGGTTGAGGAGTGGAGAGACGAGCGACCAAAATTTGAGAAACATGAGGATTGGAAACGTCAGCTGAAAACAAGCCGCCTGGAGTACTGGGAGAAAGAGTTAGATATGTTCAATCAGCTGAAAACGGAAAAAAACTCCGAACCTATTCCTCTGTCAACTTCTTTCTGGCCATCGCCTATGACGGAAAGCGTAGAAGAGTTGAAGGTGGAACTGCCCGTTGTCGATTCGCCGCCGAGGAAGCAATGTTTCGTGGGTTATAAGAGTGATGCCCCAAAACCGGAATTCGACCCGACAAAGCATGTTGATGTCGGTTGTTTTGTAGTGATGCGCGCTTCAGACGAGAATGTAGAGAAAGGAGTTAGTTTTTGGGTAGGGCGTGTACAAGAGATATCACAGGACTCAGAGAAAATTCTCGTGCAGTATTGGAACCCACAAGGCAAAGAGACCGATATGTACAAGTTGTACGAAGACGCGTAGAACAAAACATGGCGAGTTGAGAACGAATCTTCGCCTGGATGACAAAGCGTAACATGTGTGGCATGGGGATGGAAAAGCGAAAAGAAAGGCAAAACTGGATTAAGAATAAGGAAGAGCGACGCAGTGAAGGCGATGAAGTCGTTGGCAGCAGTAGAACACGCACGCTAAATGTGCAGAATAACTCGTACATCATCTGACATATATGACTTTTGTTTTTCGAAACAGCGAAGTCATTGCAATCCCGATGGAAAAGGAAATCGAGCAAGCATGGCATCGCCGAGCGGATAAGTGGGGGAAGGTGATCCAGTACGACGAACTTATACCTTATCGGGCAAGGCAAAAGATGGTCGCTATCGGCTTGCAATCAATGGACGAATCCATGTTCTACCCGACAATGGAATTCTGGACGCCAGAGATGCAACGCAAACTTTTCAAACTGGCTAACACATGCGAACCTGCCGCCATGTATAAGAAGGAGGGCATCGGTAAATGGAGAAATGTATATTATGGTTCTGGCTGGCTATGCGATTCTCGCTTTCGTGAACGAGGAAGGGTTTTATGTGTTGCTTTCGAAGCACGACATGGAATGACACATTGTGCGACACGCATCGATAGAAGCAGACTGTTATCCGACGAAGAAACGGACGATGAAGAATTCTGGATTTTCCGGCACGTGATGCGTTTTTGCAGTGTGATTAGGGATGCAATGCTGCTTTATATTAGCAAAAGAACATGCATTGCTGTTATAAGTGCTACAAAAGTACTTCGTTGGGTGTACAGTATAGGAAGAAGACAAAGTTGAAAAAAAACATCGGTATGAAGCAACTCTGCCAACGGATGAACGGGCAATCTCGTGGGTTATTGCTCACTTGAACAGGTTGTACATGGTGAAAACAACTTCGTCTTCAAGGTGTGCAGTCCCGTCGATTATTGCAATCCGGGACAAGTTGTACATGGTGAAAACAACTTCGTCTTGAAGGTGAAAACAACTTCGTCTTGAAGGTGTGCAGATGGTAGGGTGTCATGAAAAAGCTCGACCATCAGGTGGTAGGATGGGGGGATAGTCGTGCGACAGAATGCAGGGTGGTAACATAGGAGGATTGTCGAACATCGTGGAGACGCTTGACTAGCAGATGGTAGGGTGTCATGTCGAAGCTCGACCATCGTATGGTAGTATGGTGTGATGTTAGTAGGGTATGGTTGTAGGATTTTGCATTGCGGCGTCGGCGGGATGGCCGGCAGGCAGGTCGGCAGAATGCTACGATGGTGGGCTAGGAGGACGACAGGCTGCAAGATGGAAAGATAAAAGGATGGTCGGATGTCATGGCGAAGCTCGACTATCAGATGGTAGGGTGTCATGACGAAGCTCGACCATCAGATGGTAGGATGAAGGGATGGTCGTGCGGCAGGGTGCAGGGTGATAACATAGGAGGATTTTTCATTACGACATCGGCGGGATGGCCGGTAGGCATGTCGGCAGAATGCTACAATGGTGGGCTAGGAGGACGGCAGGCTGTGGAATGGCAAGATAAAAGGATGGTCGGATGTCATAGCGAAGCTCGACTATCGGATGGTAGGGTGTCATGACGAAGCTCGACCATCAGATGGTAGGATGGAGGGATGGTTGTGCGACAGGGTGCAGGGTGGTAACATAGGAGAATTGTCAAACATCGTGGAGACGCTTGACTATAAGATGGTAGGGTGTCATGTCGAACCTCGGCCATCACATGGTAGTATTGTGTGATGTCAGTGGGGTATGGTTGTAGGATTTTTTATTGCGGCGTCGGTGGAATGGCCGACAGGCACGTGGGCAGAATGCTACGATGGTGGGTTAGGAGGACGGCAGGCTAGGGAATGGCAAGATAAAAGGATGGTCGGGTCTCATGGCGAAGGTCGACAATCAGATGGTAGGGTGTCATGAAAAAGTTCGACCATCAGATGGTAGGATGGGGGGATGGTCGTGCGGCAGGATGCAGGGTGGTGACATAGGAGGATTGTCGAACATCGTGGAGACACTTGACTATCAGATGGTAGGGTGTCATGTCGAAGCTCGACCATCATATGGTAGTATGGAGTGATGTAAGTAGGGTATGGTTGTAGGATTTTCCATTACAGCGTCGGCGGGATGGCCGACAGGCAGGTCGGCAGAATGCTACGATGGTGGGTTAGGAGGACGGCAGGCTGCGAAATGGCAAGATAAAAGGATGGTCGGATGTCATCGCGAAGCTCGACTATCAGATGATAGGGTGTCATGACGAAGCTCGACCATCAGATGGTAGGATGGAGGGATGGTCGTGCGACAGGGTGCAGGGTGATAAAATAGGAGGATTTTTCATTACAGCGTCGGCGGGATGGCCGGTAGGTAGGTCGGCAGAATGCTACAATGGTGGGCTAGGAGGACGGCAAACTGCGGAATGGCAAGATAAAAGGATGGTCGGATGTCATGGCGAAGCTTGACTATCAGATGGTAGGGTGTCATGACGAAGCTCGACCAACAGATGGTAGGATGGGGGGATGGTGTGTCTGCAGGATGCTAGAATGACCGATTGTGGGATAGGAGGATGGTGGGATGGTCAGGCAAACCCGATGAACTTGTGCATGTCGACAATCACTGCAATGACGACGCTCGACTACCAGATGGCGGGATGGTAGAGAAAATATAGACAAGTTCTACATGACGGCCATGTGTGCAAGGGGGGCGCTCCATCATAGGATGGTGGATTGTCGTGACAAAGCTCAACCATAAAATGGTAGGATAATAGGATGACATGATGATGTGTTGGTGGGATGATGAGATGATCGGTTGTAGGACCATGGGATGATTTTGCGGAAGGATGGTACTTGGGTGCGCTGATGGGATTCACTTACAATCCCGAGGGTTTGACAAACTTATCAAAGTTGTATACTGGGTGTGTTGGTGGTTATGAAGTCGAAGTTAAAGGGATGGACGGAAGATTCATAATGGGTTCCTATTTTGAATGCAGAGAAGGGTGTGACAGTAATAACAAATGTTAAAGATGCATATGGCAGTGACTGAATGTGCATGGTAGTGACAAAATGTGAAACATATGCTACATTATTTTCGTCATGCTTATTCTCGTATTGCAGGATGAATGTCAACCACAATGCATCGCACAACAACGCATCATCGACCGACACTTCATCACAAGGCAACAATTCAAATACACCGGCCTTGGATCTCATAATATTCGACAAAAATATATGGGAACATGATATCGTCAGCATAGACTCTCGTTATTTGCACCTTGTCCGAAATGTCGCGCCGGACGGTGAAATCCCCATGTCTTGGGTCATGGGAGGCAACGACATACAGCTTCATCGCGACGACGGCAAAGACTTCTGGTACTTGTACTCGTTGGAGCAAGAAGTCGATGTGGAGCCCGACGCCGAGGACAGTACTGAAGACCCTGTTACACCAACAGAGATGATTGACGCGTGGAAAACATTGTGTATAAAGCAGCAATGGTCAGAGTGGGACAGGAAACATGCCAAACAATGTGCTTGGTTTTGCCTCGGAAAACCGCACCTGCCGTTCCCGATCTTTGTAGATTTCTATGGTCGAATCCGGGTGTTGAATCGTAACACCACCGTTGTGACACTTTTCACAGCGGCGAAGGTGAACGATAAAAAAATCAATACGTTCTTCCTTGCTAGAGAGGAGTTTCACAATATCACACTTACATCTCAGGAAGCATTCAACGACCCTACACTCGCTGGATCGCTTGGGCGCTTCAAAACTCGAATATCCCATGACCATGCTCTAAGGAAAAAGTTCAACATGAGGATAGAATGTTTGGTGCACAGTCAGGTGCATTGTCTGTTTGACAATTATGATGAGATATCATGGACCGTCGAACATCGAGATGACACGTTGGACGTTCTTTTCGATAGAAAAAAGTACACACGTGGGGGAAGAAAAAAGTGACATTTTCTACTGGTTGGAGCAGAGACGTGTATGACTGTCCTTACTGTGGCAACGGACACATCCGTCTTTAGCATAGTTTTGAGAGTACAAAGTTTTGTGCCCCATGAACCATGGAGTTTGAAACGAGGCCGGATGTTATAAATTCATTAGCATCAACGACGTTGTGGTATAAATTAGACATTTACCGCGCACAGAGGCGTGTAATAGAAGAGCACCGGGGGGGAGGGGGGGGGGGGGGGGGGGGGGGGGGGGGGGGGGGGGGGGGGGGGGGGGGGGGGAGGCAGCAATCCCGCAGGATGGAGCGGTGATGGTCGACCATCCGAATGGTTAGATGATGGGGTTGTGAAATTGTTAGAACGCAGGATGGTCGGATGGTCGGATGACAGGATGGAAGGATGGAAAGGCGGCAGGATGCGAGGATGACAGGATGCTTGGATGGCAAGATTGCAGGATGGTCGTGTGGTCAGATGGCGGGACGGTGGGGTGGTCGGGTGGCAGGGTTCAGGTTAGGCTGGTCGGATGGCACGATGGTTGGACAGTCCAATGGTCGGACGGTCGGATTGTGAAATTGCTGGAACGCGGGACGGTCGGATTGTATAATTGCTAGAAGGCGGGATGGTCGGGTGGTCGGGTGGCAGGATGGTCAGCTGCCCGGCTGGTTGGATGGTCGGGTGGTGGGATGGGAGGAGGGGAGGATGGGAGGATGGGAGGATGGCAAGATGGCAGAATGGTGGAATGGCAAGATGGGAGGATAGTCGGGCGGCAGGATGACAGGATGACARGGTTGCAAGATGGCAGGATGGTAGGACTGTCAGGTCGAGCGGTGAAGCTCGACCATCGTATGGTGGGGTGTCGTGCTGAAGCCCTACCATCGGATGGTGGGGTGTCTCGTTGAAGCCTCGCCATCGGATGGTAGGGTGCCGCGTTGAAGCCCGACCATCGGGCGGTGGGATGGTAGGGTGGGGAGGGCGGATGTTTGCGCGGGGGGACGGTAGGATGGATGGATGGTGGAATGGCAGGACAGATAGCAAGATGGTTGGATGGAAAACCGGATGGTTGGGTGGTGGGATGGTA